GTGAAGCTGATAGCAATGAATATAAATCAGAAGTTAGAAACTGTAGAAAATTGGTAAGGGAAGTTAAAATACACAAGAAAACATATGGCCAGAGTTAAGGATAAGAAGAAAGACTTTAAAACATATTAGGAACATAAAGAATCCTGACAGTGGTATTTGCCCATTACTAGATGAAAAATGTAGACTTACCAATAATCATGCAGAAAAGGTAGAAATGCTCAATAAATATTTCTGTTCTGTAGTTGGGGAAAAACAGATGATGCAATCTCATCATAGAGTGATACCATTCCATTCCATTCATACTCCTGGAGGATCCTAAACAGGAACTACTAAAGTTAGATATTTTGAAATCAGCAGGTCCAGATAACTTTCATCCCAGAGTTTTAAAAGAGCTGGCAGGAGGACTTCCTGAACCATTAATGTTGATTTTTTTTTAATATATCTTGGTGCCCTGGGGAAGTTCCAGAACACTGAAGAAAGCTAATGTGGCATTTTTTAAAAAGGATTAAATGGAATGACTTGAAAAATTAAAGCTTGTCAAACTTGCCACTGTTCCCCAGAAAGCTAATCAATTAATAAATAATTAAAGGAGGATAATGTAATTAATGCAAATCAATTTGGGTTTATGGAAAATAGATCCCATCAAAGTAATAGTGGTTTTTTTGTGAGGCTACAAGTTTGGTTGGTAAAGGTACTAGATTTGATATAATAGACTTCTGTAAGGCATTTTGACTTTGTACTGCATAATATTTTGATTTTTAAAAAAACCTAGAAAGATATAAAATTAACATGCCACACATTAAAAGGATTAAAAACTGGTTAACTGATAGGTCTCCAAATGTAACTGAAAATGAAGAAACACCATCAAGTAAGGATTTTTCTAGTGGGGTTCCATAGGGATCAGTTCTTCGCCCTAGCTATTTAATAATTTTATCTGTGACTGGGAAGAAAATACAAAAGCATCCCTGATAAAGTTGCAGATGACACAAAAATTGGGAGCACGGTAAATAATGAAGGGGACAGGTCACTGATTCTATGCAAGCCAGAATCCTTGGTAAACTGGGCTCAAGCAAACCACATGTTTTAAAAGTACTAAATGAAAACTTTGAAAACTAGGAACAAAGAATGGAGGCCATGCTTACAGAATGGGGGACTGTATCCTGGGAAACAGGAACTCTGGAAAAGATTTGGGATCATGGTGGATAATGAGCTGAGCATGAACTTCCAGATTGATGCTGTGACCAAAAGAGTTAATGTGCTGAGGCACAAAAAGGAACATCTCAAGCTGGTGTGGGAAGACTTTTCTCTCTGCACTTGGCAGAGGTGTGACTGCTGATGGAATCTTGTGTCCAGTTCTGGTGCCCACAGCCCCAGGAGGACATAGATTGGAGCGAGTTCAAAGAAGAGCCATGAAAATGATTAGAGGATTAGAAATCATGCCTGGCATTGACAGAATCCGACAGTTCAATCTAAGGTAAGCTGAAGGGGTGACTTGATCACAGTTTATAAGTAGTTATGTGAGGGGAAAATACCTTTCTTCAATCTAGCAAAGAAAAGTACAGTATGATCCACTGGCTGGAAGTTGAAGCTAGGCAATTTCTAACTGGAAATAAGGCATAAAGCAGGAGTGGGCAATAAATGTTAGATGGGGGCCCACTCCAGAATTTGGTAAGTGGTCAAGGATCGAACTCTTCTATGTTAATGGAGGAGATGTGGGGTTTGGGCTAGAGGTTGGGTGAAGAAGAGGGTTTGGGGTAGGGGACTGGGAGGGAATTTGGGTGAAGGAAAGGTTGGGTGAAGAAGGGAGTTTGGAGTAGGGGACTGGGAGGGAATTTGGGTGAAGGAGGGGGTCTTAACCCGGGGCAGGGACTTGGATTGCAAGGGATGGGCAACATCCAGGAGGGTGGTATGGGTGCAGGAGAGGATTTTAACCTGGAGGAGAAGTGAAGGAAGGGGTGCAGGGTCTGGGAGGGAGTTGTGGTCTGGGACAGGAGGGGATGCCGGAGGGGTGCAGGGGTTTGGGTTGTGACCTGGGGCAGGGAGTTGGGAGGAGGATGGGGTCAGGATGTCAGGGTGACAGGTGTAGGCTCTGGTTGGGAGGTGCTTATCGTAGTAGACAGTTCCCAGCTAGCAGCCCCTTC